CACAGCAGCCCCGGGAAGTCAGCTGGCTGGGAGTTGCCATTCTTGTTTAATTGATGAGAAACCCAGTTCAAGGGTCCCTCCGTTACAGCTGTAGCTGCACTACCATTTTTCCTTCTGTCCCCTACCTCACCCGTCACTGCTCTACATAAAGGGAGAAAGCGTGACTAGGAGGGCAGTCTGCAGAGTAAAAGACCTTGGTCGGTAGCACAAGAGATGGGTTAGCTGAGGGTCTTAGCACGCTCAGGTCATCTCTGTAGCTCCTTGCTAGGAGCATGGGGACAGGAAAGCGGCATTTCCTCTGCAGCCCCAAGCTTCCAAGGCTACTCTATCCACCCCCAGTCCATTTCCCAAAGAGCCCTGGGCCATTTCAGTGGAAGAACGAGAGAGAGAGAGAGAGAGGAGAGAAGGAAGAGGAAAGAGTTGAGGAGAAAGGAAGGGAAAAAGAAAGGAATGAAGGGGGAAAGAAAGAAAGAGCAGGAGAGGAAAAGAGACAGAGAGGAAGAAAGAAAATGAAAGAGAAAGAAAGGAGTCTTTGTGATAGAAGTCAACTCCGTAGAAGAGATCTCAAGGGGAAATTGCTTGTCAAATAATTTCAAGGAAATGACATTTTGACAATGAGCAAATGAGGCTTTCCTCCCACTTCCTGCCATCCGTCTCCATGTCTCTCTTTTCAATCTCTCTCCTCCCACCCTTGCTTCATTCCTCTGGCAAGCAGAATCCCTCTGGTACTACGTGTGCCCTCCTCCAGGGTCAGCTGAATGCTGCCTTCTTGATGATGCTACATTAGGAAACCATTAAAACCCCAAATCTCGGGTTGTTCCAAATTCCTCCATGCCTCCCCTGGGACCCCGCTCCGGACATGACTCCGCCAGTAGTCAGCAGGGAGCACAGCTGCTACTCTGACGAGGGAGAACATAGGCAACCCAGAATCAGGTCTCACTCCTGAGTTCTGCCCCCGTCCCCCGCACTTTGCCAATCATGTGTGACTTTGGAGGAGGTGACTTCGCCTGCCGAAGCCTCTATTTGTGCCTTTGAGACAAAATGGATAGAACAGCTTCTGGGTCAGGTCTGTGGTTCCAGCATTCCAGGACCACGGACGGGCACACACAGGCTTGCACGGGTGTGAACAGCTAAGGACCCACATGCAGATGGAAAGCATCCTGCTGACTTGGCCCTGAGATCCAGCCAGAACCTACCTGCCCAAGGTCTCCCAGTCAGACAGGTAGGGGCCGGTCTCTCTAGCACAAGAGAGACCATGGGAGATGCTGTCTGGGGTCCCCCAGCAGACACACCATGTCTCAATTTCCAGCCTCAATTTCCCCATGTCTGGTGGTAAAGGTTGCCTGAGGCCAAGAAGATTGACTACCTCTCCTTTTAAGGTAACAGAGATGAGTTAGCTGCAAGCCCTACTGTGGAGTTACAGTTATTGGGGACCTTGTTCATCCTTCTGCAGCTCTATACAGTCAGAGCCTCCCAACGTCCCACAGCCTATGATCCCAAAGCATTCTTTCATAACCAGCACTGATTCTGGGCTGCTTGATGCCCTAAAGACCCCCACATTGTCACCCACTGGACCTCTCAAATCACTCCTTGGGTAAAGTGCTTATTGTTGTTGCCTTTGTCAAAAGAAAAATAGAGGGTGGCTCCAAAGTCATAAGGGTTTTGTCTAAAATCACGCAACAAGTGAATGGCAGAGTTGGGGCTGAAGTCTGGCATTGGGACTTCCAAGTTTACTGCGCTGCCATTATGCCACTGCTTCAGCCCTGTGTGAGTGGACAGATAATACTAATACTAATGCTAATACCAATAGTATTTATTACCTTCAGGTCCTGTGCTAAACACTTCGCAGGCATCATCCCATTAAATCCTCAACACTTTGGTGAGAAAGATTAATGTCTCCATTTCCTAGATGAAGACATTGAGCCCAAGAGAAGTTTATCTCAGGTCACACAATGAATGACTGAGCAGAGTTGTAAGGTCAGATAGTGTGCAAGTGATGGAGTCAGGGTTCAAGCCTGGGTGTGTAAAGAATTTTAGTTAAGGGGGAGCAAGAATTTAAGGCTTATGCTGACAGAGACTGGCTACCTTCCAGAGGCAGCACTGTGTCCTAACACCGGCCTTCATGAACCTGGGGCAGCAGCTGTTGGTAAAGGAGGGAGTAGGTAAGATTTTATTCCCAGCTCAGACGGTAAAGCATCTGCCTACAAGGTGGGAGACCCAGGTTCAATCCCTGAGTCGAGAAGATCTCCTGGAGAAGGAAATGGCAACCCACTCCAGTATTCTTGCCTGGAAAAATCCCTTGGATGGAGGAACCTGGTAGGCTACAGTCCATGGGGTCACAAAGAGTCAGACACAACTGAGCGACTTCACTTTCCTCTCACTTTCTTTTCTTTCTTTCATTTATTTTTATTAGTTGGAGGCTAATTACTTTACAATATTGTAGTGGTTTTTCCATACACTGACATGAATCAGCCATGGATTTACATGTGTTCCCCATCCCGATCCCTCCTCCCGCCTCCCTCCCCCTCTCACTTTCAACAAGACAAGAGGTTTTCTTGTCACATCACTTCCTCTAACCTCTTATCAGTCCTAAGAACAAGTTGTGTCAACATGTTATCTTAAATCATTTTCTACTGGGCCCACTTGACAATGCCCAGGGGAAGTAAGCCCTTAGCCTCCTTCCTCTGGCTGGGCTCAGTCTCTGGCCTTCCTTCCTCAAGTCTCTGCGCATCCAGGGCTGCCCCACACCTTTTAAGCTCCGAGTACTCCCAAACTCATGAAAGCAGAGGTATGCCGACATGTTCATCATCACATTCCCAGGTGTGGCCCAGTGCCCAGCACATAGTAGCCACATGGCTAATGAACTAATGGCTAATGACAAATGGCTAATAGCCATTTGTCAAATGAACGAATTATCCTCTAATGGATTCATGTGATTCATTCACTATCAACTGGGTACCAAGTATGTGCTGGGCACTTTCAATTTGGAGGTAAACACAAGACAAGCTATGGTTTTTCCAGTAGTCATGTATGGATGTGAGAGATGTACCATAAAGAAAGCTGAGCACTGACGAATTGATGCTTTTGAGCTGTGGTACTGGAGAAGACTCTTAAGAGTCCCTTGGACTGCAAGGAGATCCAACCAGTCAATCCTAAAGGAAATCAGTCCTGAATATTCATTGGAAGTACTGATGCTGAAGCTGAAGCTCCAATACTTTGGCCACTTGATGCCAAGAACTGACTCATGAGAAAAGACCCTGATGCTAGGAAAACTGAAAGCAGGAAAAGAAGGGGACGACAGAGGATGAGAAGGTTGGATGGCATCACCGACTCGATGGACATGAGTTTGAGCAAACTCTGGGAGATGGTGAAGGACAGGGAAGCCTGGCATGCTGCAGTCCATAGGGTCGCAAAGAATTGCACACGATTGAACTAAACTGAAACCCAGGACCAGCTTGGAGGAAGTCTCAATCTCAGTGGGGCTGAAGCTTCAGTCTGATGCTCCAGAATATAGCTATCAGCACCCCCTGAAACACTTTTAGAATAATGTGGACAATGAATGAATGACAGTTTATCAGAAAAACTAGAGAGAGAGGAGCCAAATTCAGTGAGACCAAGGGACAGGAATCATTGATCTGCCTGAGGAGTCAAAAAAAGCTATGCTGGTAAAGGATGTGGTGTAACTTCAGCCTTGACAGATGAGGTATTTGCCTTAAGCACAAGTTGGGAAAGGAGCATTGTAAACAGAGGCACCAGTATTAATAAGAGCAAGCAGGTGTAAAATTACTAATTGGGGCTGGAATAAGTGACAAGAGATGCCCCTTCCAGACATGGCTGCATATCATGTAATTCCCAGGGGCTGGGGGTGGGTGGAGCCACGGAGAGACTGAAACATTGAATCCTAGTGAATTGAAGAAAGAAAAAGCTCTTGAATTTGACATTATGACTAACAGGCTCGTCCTATTTAGCCTCATTTAGATTCATTCTCATATAGAGACAAAATGAGCTTAATCATTTCAGTAAATGCATTTTCAAAAGCCTCGGGGAAATGTAGGGCTTGGGTGCCAATCTCCCCAGGTCTGAGGCTCAGGAGGGAACCTGGGTTCCAGCCAGCGTTTATATCACCTGCAGGTCAGGTGTGGGAAGCATCTCCTGGGACACAGCAGAGTGTCCCAGCCCCAGTCACAGGACACAATTCATCCCTCTCTGGCCGGGCAGTAGCCTCTCTGCCTGTACCCTGCCCCCAGCAGAGAAGACAGAGGCTGGGCGGGCGCTTTGGGGGCTGCATAAGGAGAGGGCTGCCCCCAAACCTGCTGACTAAGGCTCCACAAGGTGCCGCAGCAAGCGCAGTCGGGGAGGCCCCGGTCTCCAGTATTTGCCCCTGCTCTCAGGCCATTTCCTGCTCAGATTTGGGAATTTTCAGACCCAGAGGGAAAGTCCCTCGAGACAAATATTAGAAAGAGAGAGAGAGCGCGCGCACCGGATCCGCCTGGAGAGCGCGGAAGGAAAGACCAGGCTCTGTCCAAAATACGCGCGCTGGAGGGCGGGAGGCGGCGGAGCCCGCGTTGCTTTCTTGAAGGCTTTGGCTTTGAGCGCAGCACGCAGGGCGACTGAAGACGAACGGAGAAGACCGGCCCGCTGGGTGGGGGCGGGGAGGCGTTCAGTGGGCCTCCGCAGTGTGTGTGTCTGTGTCAGTGCGCCCGCGCCTGTGTGTGTGCGTGTGTCTGTGTGTCTGGCGCCTGTCCAAGGTGATTTCCCATAAACCACATGCCTCACAAGTCCGCTTAAAAGGCTGTGCCGAGGAGCTGGCCAGTGGAGCCCGGCTAGGGGAAAGTGAAAGTTTGTCTGGGTGCTCCGCGCGCCGCCGCGGGTCCCTCTACACTCCCGGGTCAGCAGCGCGGCCCTCGGCCAGGGCGCGGACTCTGCAGCGGCCAGCGATCAAGGCAGCGAGCAGCAGAGCGAGGGCGGCCGACGCGCCCGGCCGGGACCCAGCTGCCCGTATGACCGCGCGGGGCGCCGCCGGGCGCTGCCCTCCCACGGTAAGCGATCGCCGCGGCGCCGGGCCCGGGCCGGGCTGGGACTGGAGCTTGGCAGCGCGGCGCGGCTCCTCGGAGCCCACTGCCCCAGCGCGCGCCGACTGCCGAGGCTCTTCCGTCCCCCCCGGCACCGGGCCCATATTTGCACGCCGACTGCGCGAGGCCCCTCTTGCGCTGGGGCTGGGACCAGAGGCGGCCCTTGCAGCTGCTTCTGGGGCTGCGGCACCTCTTTGGGGAAGGGCAGACTGCTTACCCCATTGCAGGGAGAGGCACGCAGAGCCACCTGCGGGCAAAGGAGAGGGGTTTGCAGTCAAGGGGCAGTAGCTCCGTCCTAGACTCTCTCCACCGCCAAGGGACAGGCGGAATGGCTGTACGCCTGAGGGTGGCGCCTGCCAAGGGGGCATTCCACACGGGCCATACGCATGCTTCTAGGTCCTGCTGGGGAGTGGGTGCTTCTGAATGGGGAAAGTTCAGGTACCATCCAGCTTATAGAATGCAAGGCAGAAGGAAGGAGCCGGGCAAGCCACTACTTGTTCCAGCTCACAGACAGGAGCTGTTGGGCACTTGGGTGGCTGGATCAAGTCCGTTTTGTGGGGGATGGGGTACCAGAGTTGCCTGGTGCCGGCTCTGTATCTTCCTGCAGATTCAGGTTCAGTCAGTCGGGTAGCTCCTGGGCTTGATGATGGTAGAGTAGGTGGAAGGAAGGTTTGGGGTTGCAGAACTGTGGACAGGGGCTGCGGGATGTTCACCACTGTCCTGCCCTAACCATGGGCTGTAGCTGGGGCAGCTGCTAGATGGTGCAGAGTGACTCCATTAATGAACAGTAAGTGGTCTCCCAATGGGTTTGCTTCTGAGGAATTCTAGAGGAGAAACCTGGTGTGGGGGGTGGGCAGCGAGAGAAACAGAAAAATATTCAGAGGATAAGGGAGGGAGGTTGCAAGTAGGGTGATAGGGACAAGCCCTTCCACGAGGAGGAAGAGCCAGCTGAGAGAGATGAGATGGGGTTAGGAGGGGAAGTCAGGAAGGGTGAGGCGACGGGCAACAAGACAAATAGGGGCTGGAAGTGAGAAATGGTGAGGAAAGAGGAGGAAGGTAAATGTGGAAGGAAAGAGGCTGATTTTAGACAGGGGCAGCCTGAGGGTCCACTCATGCTAAGGTCTCTCCAGGGACTGTTTTACTGGGGAATTTGGGACAGGGTGAGAAGCAGGTGAGGATGGGTGGCTGGGCTGAGATGTCCCAGAGTCTCTCTGAGCCTGAAGCAGAGATTCCTAGGGCTGCCCCAGAGGCCAAAGCTGGTGGGTGGGAAGAAGAAAGGAGGGGGGAGAAGAGCCAGCCCAGCCAGGCGCAAGCTAGAGTGTTAACCCTTGGGTACCTGTCCAGCTCCTCCTCTGAGGCCAAGTCAAGGCCCCAGGTGCAGGGGTGGTCCCCTTTGGCCACCTTCAAAGTCAGCCTCCCACATGGTGGCTGTACACTCCCCACACTGATGCCTGAAATAACCTCAGAAATCAGGCAGCCCTTGGGGTTAAGCATTGCCCCCTCCTGGCTGCCCTCGAACATCAATATCTTAAACTGTCAGTGGCAAGGCTGTCTTCCTGAGCATCTCCTTCCCCATGGGCCCTTTCCTCCAAACCACTGACACCTGAGGCTTGAAGCCTCAGGGGCAACCAGGCTGGGGCAGAGACATACCTTCTGCATGGCCCAATTTCCTCCCGTGGGACCTGAACTGCAGGTTCCTGAGGGCTGGCACAGCCATTCCCACTCAGAACTCCCTCCTCAACAGAGCCCAGTGTCCCCTCCATGACTCTTTTCCCTCTTCCACAGTCTCCCTCTCCCAGGTCAGACCAGGACCCTCACCAGACCCTGGTGCTGAACAGCACTGGGCCATCCTGAGCCTCTTTCCTCCAGGCCCCCCTTTCCCCTCCTCTCTCTGCCATCGACTCCCCCTGTCCCCCCCCCCCACCTCCCCACCAACCCATCCGCCCCTCCCCCATCTTTGAAGGTCTTACTGTGGCCCCTCTTCCCTGCAACCTCCCTGGAGCCCAGCAGGGCTTCTCCTCCCTGGTAAGAGCTGACAAACATTTTCGCTTTTAGTTGTATGTAAATCAGCATGTTGTTGTGGGCTGTTTCACAGCCTCCAGTGTGCTATTTGTTTGCACTATTTGTCTGAGCATCTGAATTAAAAGGCAGAGCCCAGAACCCAGGAAGGTACCAACCCACACCCCACCTTGACAGCTTTTCCCCAGACCTGCCAGGAGGCGACATCCAGCTGGAGAGAGACAGCCCAAGGGTCTTTCTCTGCCTCTGGCTGGAGAAGCAGGTACCTAGAGCCAAGGAGAGGGCTAATCGGACTTTGGCAAGAGGAAGGAAGTGGAAAGACAGGGTGTCAGGAGCTCGTCCATCACTCTGGGGACAAGCAGCTACTGGCTCAGGGGTTGCTAAAAGAGGGGAGAGATCTCAGAAAATGTTCTTGCAACGATAAGAGCTGTCAGGCTGGATGCAGAGCCTGATGGAGCTCCGATAGGCAGGTGCCAGCCAGGGATGGTCTAGAGTTGGCACTGCTGCCTCTGATTAATCAGTTGGGCTCTTTTTGACACACAGCCCCAGGGCTCCAAAGGTCTGTGATGCAGGATAGGTTCCCAGTGAAACTGAGTTTGGGCCCCTGGTTTTTCCATTAGCAGAGCCAGACATGCGTAGAATCAGGTAGCAGGAAGGGCTGGGCCCAGAGAGATGTCTCTGGCTCCAAGTGTGGAAGCCAGCCAGTGTAGGAACATGAACTTGAGAGGAGTGGGCAGCTCCCAAGATGCCTGGCTCAGTGTTTGATGTTACAGAGTCAGAATAATGGGTAGGAGCAAGTCCTGCATTAGAGGAGTTTCCTGTGTGACTGGCATTTAGACTGGTAGGCACAACTCCCATGTCCTCATTAGAAGTTCAGTGTGTAGAATGGCTTGGCCGGGGTTAATCTGGGAAAGCTTCTTGGAGGAGATGACATTTGGGTTGTTATCAAGGGAGAGCAGGGTTGTGCTTGGTTCTTAGGAAATCTTGAGGAAGGTGGCTTTGGGAATGGTGTATTCTGGGATGAGAGGCCGAGCCTGTAGCACTGTAAGTCTGAGGTCCTTGTTTTTCCATCCTCAGCAGGGCAGGGTGGTTCCTGGGGAGTGTGAGAGAGCTGGGGAAAAATGATGCTCTCTCTGTCACAGACATGGCTGGGCTCTCTGCTGCTGCTGCTGGCCTGTCTCCTGGTGAGCAGTGTTGCTACCAAGGAGGTGTCGGAGAACTGTAGCCACATGATTGGGAACGGACACCTGCTGTTCCTACAGCAACTGGTGAGTGTGTGGTCCTGCCTACCCCAGGTTCTCCCCACTGGGGAAACGGAGGCAGGGAACAGGGCCAAAGAGAGGGGTTGTAGGCAGAGGAGGACGGCCATGCAGGATGTGGCTTGTGGCTCCCACTAGCTCCACGGATGTTCTTCTCATTGACCTTCTAAAGGTCAATGCTTCTGACCCCACCCCCACCCCCAATCCTGAAGCCCTTTCCAGCTCTCCTGCAGGCCGGGGACAGGGTGGGCTTCTAGCTGGTTGCCTGGGCCAACTATGGCCTAGAATGTCCATCAAGGACTCTGAAAAGGCTTGTAAAGCCTGCTCTCCCTTGATGGGATGCTTCCCTTCAGGAGCCAGCCCAGTCTGCCTTCTGTGTCCAAATGTTGCCTCTAGCTCCTGGCCTCCCAGATGTGCCGCCAGCCTGGCACCAGGGCCTCAGCAAGGTTTGGAAGGGAGGCTCCCAGCTGACTCCCAGCCCTACCCCGACACTTCCCTGGCTCTTGCCCGAACCCTGGGGCTGGGATGGGCTGCTCACCCGGGCCTTGAAGGAGCCCATGCCTCACCCTCATCAGGCCAGCAGAGATGGCAACAATTCCTAGTGTGGTTCAGCCAGGCAGAATCAGGTTGCTGTCATGGCTGCTGTCCCGCTCAGAACAGAATTTGCCATCCCTCTGGCCAGGAAGGCAGGGTGGAGCCCCACTGGCTAAGGTCAGCTCCAGGGCCTTCAGTTTGGGGCCTGTGGGGTGGCCTCCGGTCTCTCTCACCCGCTATGCTTTCCTTCTGTGTGTAGCTGCTGCAGCAATACAAAGTAGACCAAGAATTGCTGCATTCTTTGAGGCTCAGAGTCACAGAACCACAGCTCTGAAGGGCAGCAGGGGCTGTAAGGGCATCTAGCCCCAGTCCGTATATATCCTGAATTCCTAGAGCTTATCTAACCTCTGCTTAAATTCCTTCCAGGACAGGGAGCTCACTACCTCCCACAGGAGATTATGTCCTCTATGCTGTATTAGACAGTTCTTCCTTATAACAAACTGGCATCTGTCAGACTTCATAAAGTAGGAGTACAAGACTGAGACTTCTTGTTCTTCTCCAGCCCTCCCCTGGCCATATGGAAGTCACAGATCTTCCCCTAACCTTAGCTCTGTCTTCTCATGTATGGTTGGGGGAGGTGGATGAGGATCAAACCCCAGAAACTCTAGTCCCCATTCTTAGGCAAGCTCAGTGGAACTGCAGACACCTGCCACCACTAGCCTGCTCTCTCTTACAGATTGACAGTCAGATGGAGACCTCGTGCCAAATTTCCTTCGAGTTTGTAGACCAGGAGCAGTTGGTGAGTTATGGCTGTTTATGAAACCCATGGGCCCATATGTATGCACTTACCAGTGTGGGTGTATGTGGGCAGGAGAAATCCTAGAGGTGCTCAGGGTATGTGTGTGAGGACCCCTGGGTGCCCAAGTCTGGGGTGCCAGGGTCCAGGGTTAGTCAGGGTCCTAGGCTCAAGTCCCCTGCTGTGCCCTTCTCCTGGCTTGGCACATGTCAAGGTCTTACAATGTGTCAGGCACTTTTGATCCCGACTATGTGGTTCACTCATCTTGTTTGTGAAAGGTCAGGGGAGAGGGCATAGCTCAGAAGTGGAGGCCTGATTTGAACCCAGGAAGGCAGGCTGTAAGGCCTAAGGCAAACCAATACTTCTGGGTCACATGGTTTGCTTAAGGACGTCACCTCCATCTAACAGCCAGACCAGCAACCAAGGGGATCAGTCCAGCCCTTTCCCTCTTCCTCCTTATCCCACGCCCAACCAGATACCGAGTGATGCTGGTTCCTCAGCATCTCTGGGTTCTGGGGCCCCACCCCATCAGTCGTTTGGACAATTTCAAGAACCTCCTAAATGGCCTCCTCTCCTCCTGTGCACTCCTCATCCCACCACTGGGGGGAGCTCTCTGAACCACAACTTGTTATCTTCACTGCCTTTCCTGAACCTGGAGACCCCCTCACTCCAGGGGAAAGCCTTGGTTGTCTAGCCTGGGTTTACAAGTTCCAGTCCCCATCACACAGCCCAACCCACTACCCCCTTTTCTGTGTTCCTTCCTGCCTCCAAGCCTCTGCACATGCTCTTTCTGATGCCTGTAATGCCTTTCCAGCTGTCCCCACCCCAGATTTTATGCCACATTTATTCATCTTCTTGCCTGATACAAAATCACCATCATGACCAGGGTTTGCTCCCACCTCTGAGCTTCTGCACACCTGACCCATACATGCTTCCATTAGCACTGGAGACAAATCTTACGGTCCAAGGAGTAACCTCAGCGTTCCACTCACGTGCTCACTCCCACCTCGCCAAGCATTTACTACAAGGAACCTATCGGACCAGGTACTAGGAATACAGAGCTAAAGCAGAGTCTTCATTGAGGCATCCACCATCTTTTTAGGGAGACAAAACACTGAGGTTGTTCTTTGGACCCTGGGGTAGTCTCCAGTACCCCTGTGGCTGGGAGGATTAGAAGGAGCCATATGGTAAAGAACTTCTTGTGAAAGCAAGCCAAAAGAGGGTCAGAGACAGAAAAAGAGAAGTTCCTCAGAACCCACCCTACCTATGCACCTTCAATCTGAGCTCACCTTTCAGAAATCCAAGCACTGCTCTGGTCAGAGTCCACATTTCCTTCCCTCTAGGAAAGGGAATCAGTAGGGAAGGCAATCCCCAGTGGTGTCAGATCCCAACAAGGGAGACTGAAAGCCAGCTGAGGGCAGTGTTCTCTGTCTTCTGGAGTGGGTGGTCCTCTCCTCAGGAGCAGTGGTAGGGCAGTCTGTCTGGGAGGGGGGCATCCAGCACAGAGCCTGGGCTCCCAAGTGGCATCAGCCAGGTCATAAACTCCAGGTTGTTATTTTCCAGGATGATCCTGTGTGCTACCTTAAGAAGGCATTTCTCCTGGTGCAAGACATAATGGAGGATACCATGCGCTTCAAAGACAACACCCCCAATGCCAAAGTCATTGTCCAGCTCCAGGAACTCTCTCTGAGGCTAAAGAGCTGCTTCACCATGGACTCTGAGGAGCAGGACAAGGTAGGAGGGTCCTGGAGCTGGGGGCACTGAGGGAGAGAGGGCAGAGGGCAGCTGTGCTGGTACCACCCCCTGCCTGTAAGCACAGAGATGCTCACTGGCCTCACCCCGGGTCATTGCTCACTTGTGCTCTCACTCACGTATTCATTCCACAAACCTTTGCGGAGGACTCACTGTGCAGGAGGGATGGTACTAGGTGGTAGTACCTAGGATGGTACTAGGCCTTGCTGATGTTCCTCATGAGCAGGAACTACTCCCAGCCTCTGGGAGCTTATAGTTAAGTGAGGGTGGCAGTCACTAGACAAACAATGACACAAGTAGATAGAATTTTAACCCATGAGGACTATTCGTTCATCCAACAAAGAATCAAGGAGTGTCTATTGTGTACCAGATGTTGTTCTAGACTCTGGGGAATAGCTGTGATCAGACAAAATTCCCCACATTCATGGAGCTTAGATGTGAAGGTGGTGAGACAGTTAACAAAATACATAAATAAAGTAGAAGTAAAGTGGCAATAACTGCATTGCAGAAAGCAAACCAGAAAGTGAAGACCAGAGGAGGTGAGGGAGAAAGCCAGGAAGAAGTATGTGGGGCTCCAGAAGAGATAAATGGGACTTGGATTTAAAAGGCAGTGGGGAAGAAGAGACAGGGAAGGCTTCTGAGTAAAAAGATATTCACTCGGGGTTCAAAGATGAGTAAGAGTTAGGAAGCATGAAAAGTGGTCAGAGTGTTCCAAAATAGAGAACGCTGGGCACAGAGCCCTAAGTGAGCAGGAGCACACACATTCGGGCCCTCCCAGTGTGGCTGGCATGGCCAAGGCCTGGAAGTGAAGGCAAGAGAGCCACGGAGGTGGGAGCCTGGGTCTCCCAGCTGGGTGACCCAGATCAGCTGGGTCGAAAAAATGTGGGATTTTGTTTAAAGTGTGAATGAGCGAAGTTGCTCAGTTGTGTCCGACTCTTTGCGATCCCATGGACTGTAGCCTACCAGGCTCCTCCATCCATGGGACTTTCCAGGCAATAGTACTGGAGTGGGTTGCCATTTCCTTCTCCAAGGGACCTAGTCTAACTTGCGCTGTGAGACCATTCTGGCTGCTGTGCTGGGAAGGGTGTGTAGGGATCAGGGATGGAGGCTGCGCAGCCAGCAGGAGGTGCAAGTCCAGGCGGCTTGGACTAGGTTTGTGCAGTGAAGGTGAGGCCAGGGGACACCTTCTGAGTTTAGAGAAAGAGCCAGGGGATTTGGTAATGCAGTGGCCATGTGGACCTGAGGGAAGAGAAGAATGACAATGGTTTTTGTCTGCAGCCCGTAGAGTTCTGGTGATGCTGAAGTGGGACAGAGCAGGTTGGGGAAAGGGCAGGAGTTTCAGGCTGGGGCACACTATGCTTGAGATGTTTGTGAAATGACTGAGTGGCGATGTTGAGTAAGTCACTGGATGTACAAGTCTGGAGTTTGGCTGGTGATTGACAGACGGAAGCAGTGTTGGTCTGAAGGTCATCTGTGAAGCTAGGGGTCTTCATAACATTGCCAACTGTGAGAAGAGAAACAGGCCGAGGAATCTCAGCATTTATTTAGAAGTCAGGCACAGGAAGGGGGCCTGGCAAGGAGACTGAAGAGCCGCATAAGAGGTGGGAGGAAACCCAGGAGAGCGTGGGATCACTGAGCCCATGTCAAAGGGCATTTCAGGATGGGAAGAGTAGTCACCTTTATCAGCCGGGGTTGGAGACGTCAAGCAGGAGAAGCGCTGAAAAGTGTCTGGTGGATTTGGCAATGTGGATGTTGGAGGCAGGTGCCAGAGCACGTGGACAGAGACTGAGGAAGTGGAGACAGCACTGTGGAAGAACCTGGCTCCAAAAAAAATGTAGAAAAAGAGAGCTAGCTGGAGGGAGGGTGGGATGGAGAGAGGAAATATTTTTAAATAAGAGAAGTATTAGATCTGTGGTTTTCCAGGGTTGAGGTTCATAAGAATCATCTGTGGAGCTTGTTTAAAATGCAGATTCTTGGACTTCCCTGGTGGTCCAGTGGTTAGGACTCACACTTCTACTTCAAGGGGTGTGGGTTCGATCCCTGGTCAGAGAACTAAGATCCTACATGCTGCATGCTGTGGTTAATAATAATAATAATAAAAGCAAAAGGAAGTCTTCATTTAAAAATTTCCAGTTCCAAAACACCTTTCCTTTTAAACAAATAAAAACTCAAATAACTTCTAGTAAAAAAAAAACAACAAAAAACTTTTAAATGCAAATTCCCAGTATGTACCTCTAGAAAGTCTGATTCACTAGGTCTGTGGGTGGGCCTTAGAATCTTGTATTTTAGCAAGCCACCTGCCCTGCACGTTGCAGGGATGCTGGGAGGTGGGGAGCAGGTGAAGCTAGAGGAGCAGGTCTTCTAAGGAGCTGGCCGGGGAGGGATTCAGAGCTCGGGAAGTGAAAAGCCACTGCCTCTGTTGAGACAGGTAGACACCAGGACATTCTGTCCTTGTTTTCACTGTGATGTATGAGGTGAGGTATGAAGAGCACAGATATTTTGTAAGAAAGACAAGAGGAAGAGAGCTCACCTCTTCCTTACAGTTGCCTTGTCAGGGAGGCAGGCAGGGATTGTCGTTTTGATTTGACAAATGAGGAGGTGAGCCCAAGCTGGAAAGTTCGTTTGGCCAGTGTTGCTGAGTTGGTGAGTAACGAAGCCAAGCCCGGGGCTTCCCATTCCCGCATTCCTCTCTCCTTTATCTGATAAACATTTACTGAGGACCTACTGTGCACAGCCCCTGGGCATCCAGTGGTGCTTTCAAGGACTTTAGTGCCTAGTAAAGCCCATAGTTCTTCCCTGTGCAGCTCAGTTTAAGGAAGGACTTGGGAGTCATCAGCAGGCGGGCTATAGATGCGATGAAGCCATGGGCACAGTGTCTGGGGGTGAGTGGAATGCCAGCCTGTGGAAGGCAAGTGGAGGTGGGCAGCCTAGTAAGGAGACTGAGATGGAGCAGCTCAAGGGGAGGGAGGAATACCTGGAGTGTGATGTTCTCAGAGCCCCAGTGGGCATGGGGGGCCTAGGTCCCATGAGCAGAAGAGAAAATAGCAGCTCAGCAGACAGGACTGGGGTTGTCTGGGCTCTCCTGTCAAGATATATCAATGCCAGAGAAGGACCCACAGCCCCATGGCCTCCTCCAGGCCTTTCTCCTCACCACAAAGGATGCTCTTTCTAAAGGATTAGGGTCTTAGGCTCCACCCATCTCCCCAACATGCCCCAGAAATTTTCTTTGCTCTGTGGATAAGGTTAACGGTTCTTGACACGGCCAAGAAGGCCCCACAGGACCTGGTCCTCGCTGACCTCTCTCCGCTGCATCTCTGGCCACTCTCCTCCTAGATGGCTGTGTTATAGCCTACTCTAGCCTTCTTTTTCATCTTTAAACATTTCAGGTTCTTTCTTGCACAGTCTATTCCCACCACCTGGACAGCTCTCTCCAACCCCACCTCCTTTCCTTGTTAACTCTTGCTCATCTTTTAGTCAGTTCCTCGGGGATTCTCCCAAGTCCTCATTTAGTTCCCCCTGTTAAACATGCTCAGATAATTCTTCTTAGGACTCACCGTACTTGTAACAATGCTGGTGACCTGATGGACTCAATGTCCAACTTCGCCAGGGACCACCTCTCTCTCATTCGTTACACGATTCCCAGGTAGTTACTATATGCCTGGCACATAACTATGTGTTAAATGGAGCCATGAATAAATGATAAATCTCACCACCTCAGGACATAGGGGTCCTACAAACAGGGGAAGAGGGCAGGGAGAAAACAAGAGAAAAAGAAGATGGATGTGAGAAAGGCCAAGGGAGTTTGACAAAGAAGCTAGAGACATGGGACCAGTGCTTATTCTCATCAAGGGGGCTCTGCTCTCCTTCCAGGCTTGTGTCCGAACATTCCATGAGACGCCTCTCCAGTTGCTGGAGAAAATCAAGAATGTCTTTAATGAAACAAAAAATCTCCTTAAAAAGGATTGGAACATTTTCAGCAAGAACTGCAACAACAGCTTTGCTAAATGCTCCAGCCATGGTAAGTATGCTGGAAGGGGCCAGCAAGTGTGAGGCTGGGGCAGGGTGAGTGGAACAGAGGTGCACCGGGTTGCGGGGGGTGACACATCGGGCTGGAGGGACCCCTGGGAGGCAGCCTGGCTGCTACTTGTGCTCCTGTGTGTGTAGACGTGCTTGTTTTGTGTACGTATGTGGCTTTGTGTACCTCTGAGTGGTCCTAGGCACATGTCTTTTCCGACATGTGTGTGCATGCACGCCTATGTATGTCTGCATGTTGAGGCATCGAGAAGGATCAAGCTGGTGGCTGTGAGACCAGGGAGTGGAAAAGGGGGCCCTCTCAGAGAGCCCTGTAGGCATGGCAGCTTTCCCACTGGCTCTGCAGGCTGGCTGAACGTATGGGGGGTTCCGTGGACACAGCAGAGGTTCCATCCGGGAGTCAGGGCTTGCTCCAGGAGCCCTGCTGTGAATCACCAGGATAGCCTGGCTCCAGAAGTCCCAAGGATGCCTTGAGTGTCCCCTCAAGGGACAAGATTGGATTTGAAGTCTGAGCATCATTCAAACCCTGGCAGTGCTGGCCCAGCTGCGCACATATGTACCCTGCATTGTCCTCGTCTCTGCGTCCTGTGCCACGTGTACCCGCCTACATTCAACCTTGCTCCCCGAGGCAAGGGCTGAGGCCCTGCGACCTGCCAATGGCCAAGTCCAGTCTCGTCGCTTCAACCACAAGGCCTCAAGCCTTGGCCACATGCCAGCCCCAGCCTGTTCCCGCCTGTGGTCATGGCTGCGTAGCCCCCTGCTGTGCATGAACCCACCTTGCGGCTTTCCAACCAACAATGTCTTGGGGGCTTGAGGGTGTCTTGTGTTAGAGGCCACTACTCAACATCTTGGCTGGCTATTGTCACCCCTGGCTTGGCGTCTGGCCAGCTGGATCTCCAGAAAGGGCAGTTTTCTGGTCTTCCCTGACCCCATCCCCCAACCTGTGTGTCTAAACCCCACTCTTTGCTCTTTTCCTGCAGTTTGTTCCTTTCCTGTCTAAAGCCTGTGTCATGAGCATTGGCTCCAGTCCTGTCCTCACCTCAGCCCCAGGGCTGAGTTAGGGCCTGAGGGGACCCCCCAGACCCACACCCCCTCTCCATCCCTCTGGGAAAGCTGTGCTGGAGGCTGGTGACTCTATCTCCTCCCCATCCTTCTCTCTCCTTCTCTCTGTGGTTCTTTCAGATGTGGTGACCAAGCCTGATTGCAACTGCCTGTACCCCAAAGCCACCCCTAGCAGTGACCTGGCCTCTGTCTCCCCTCAGCAGTTCCCCACCCCCTCCACAGCCCCTATGGCTGGCTTGACCTGGGCTGACTCTGAGGCAACAGACGGCAGCTCCCTCTTGCCCAAAGAGCAGGCCCTTCGCACAGTGGACCCGGGCAGTGCCAAGCAGCGACCACCCAGGAGCACCTGCCAGACCTTTGAGTCGCCAGAGACCCCACGCGTTGAGGGTCGCCCCACTGGAGATTCTCCTCAGCCCGGCCCTTCGGTTGGAGCCCCTGTCACTGGGATGGAAGACATTCTTGACTCTCTGCTGGGTGCTAACATGGCCCTGGAAGAGGCCTCCGGAGAGGCTAGTGAGGGTCCTATACCCCAAGGGGCAGAGTTTTCCTCCTACAGTCTGGGAGGACGCAGGGTCCAGACAGAGCCTTCCAGCCCCAGTCACATCCTCCCAGCATCTTCAGCACTCTCTGGACCAAGAAAGGGGCTGCGGCTTGCAGATGCAACTAGCACACACCTGCCCACACTGGGCCCCATGAGACCCACGGAGGCCTGGAGTCACACACCTGAGAAGACAGATCGTCCCTCTGCCTCGCCCAGAGACCACCAGGAGCCAGGCTTGGCCAAGACCCCAGCGCTGCGCCCACAAGGCCTCAGCAGTCCCTCCGCCCCCTCTTCTCAGCCAAAGCTCCCCAGAAGTCACTCCTTGGGCCACGTGCTGTCCCTTGGGGAACTGGAAGGCAGGAGGAGCACCAGGGACCGGAGGAGTCCTGCAGAGCTGAAAGGAGGACAAGCAAGTGAGGGGGCAGCTAGGCCCCCGGCCCGTTTTAACTCCGTTCCTTTGACTGACGCAGGCCATGAGAGGCAGCACAAGGAAGCCTCCGACCCCCAGCTCCCTGGTTTTGTCTTCCGCCTGCTGGTGCCCAGTATCATCCTGGTCTTGCTGGCCGTCGGCGGGCTCCTGTTCTACAGGCGGCGGCGGCGGGTAAGAAGAGCCCCATAGGGGAGAGGAGGGCGGCTCGTGGGGTGGGGCAGAGCCTGGACGCAGGAGCAGGGCAGGGGATGACTTGGGTTCAGGCTGGGCTCTTCAGACTCTGAGAGACAGGAAGTTGATTGAGCACAGGGGGTGGGAGGTGCAAGGGGAGGGTTTCTTCAAGAATGGGGAAGGCTCAGGCTGCAAGATCGACCGGAGGGACAGGGATGCCGCAGAGAAGTAGGAGACATTCTTCCTGGGCTACAGCGCGGTGAGAACCCAGACAGGAGACGGAGGAGGAAAGTGATGCTTGTGCAGGGCAGGGCATTCATGGAGACTTTGCAGAGCTGGGGGGTAAGGAGTCCCGGGATAGGAGCAGCCTCTGGAAGCCCTCTGGCCCTCTGGCTGAGGGAAGACCTGGGTAACTCTCTCATAGAGCCCCAGGGCAGCCCTGCCTGAGGATGGGGCCCCGGCCCCCCACCCTCCCCCAGCTCCTCACTGAGCCAGCTCTTTTCTGCCCCCAGAGCCATCGAGAGCCACAGATGGTAGATCCTCCCATGGAGCAACCAGAGGGCAGGTGAGAGTTTGGGTGAGGGGCTCTGGTAGGCACGGGGTGGGGGGGCCTGTCTTGGCATCTATTTTCCATCTAGATTTGGAGGAGACTTCCTGCCGCTTGCTCTAAGGAAATGAAGCTCAGAACAGGATGCGGCGGGTGGGTGGCGAGAAGGAAGCATATCTCTTCTTCCCTAGATATCTGGGATTTTTCCTAATTTCTTCTTAGGGTTAGGCAGTTCTGGTCTCCCAAATCTGAGAGGGCTGGAGCATGTGGGTGAGGGTTTTGGGGTTCCCTCACTCCTTGGCCTCTGCTGAAGTCTTACACCAGCCCTGTGCTCTGCCCACAGCCTCCTGACCCAGGAGGAGGACAGACAGGAGGAACTGCCAGTGTAGACAGAATCCTAAGGTAAGACGCTGATCTGGAGCCCTCGCCACTCCTTAAAACTGGTTACACCCAAATTTTCCACCCACCCTAACTTGCTTGTGGTACCACCAACTCCCCTGAGGCTCCCACCCTTGACTCCCTTCTCTCTCTCTCCTACTCCCTTTTCCATTCATCGCCAAGTCTGGCCAACCCTCTTCTCCCCAGGTCCTCAGGTCTCTTATCACCACTTCACTCCCTCCACCTGAGGGCAGGTACTACTAATTCTGAATCAGGCTATTATTTCTGCATCCAGCTTCGACTTTTGCTGCCATCTTTCATCTCAAAACAACCACACTGTTTGTGTAGGGACTTTCAGCAGCTCTGTATCACCAACCACTTCAACTCAACATTCTCAGCTTGGCTCCCAAGTTCCTCCAGCAGCAGCCCCTCACACACATCTCTTGCCAGCTTCCTCTCTATGTGCACCCTGATTGGAGCCTTCCTCCCAACCAAGACCATTTCTGCCTCCCTGCTTTTAGATCCATGGAGCCATAGAAGCATGGTCCTAGAAGGGCTCTCGGGGGTCATTTGGTCTAGAATCCCACTGCAGAGAGGCCTCCCCTCTCTGCATCCCTGATGGGGAGTCAGCTTGCTTCTGGTTACACACTCTCAGCCACAGGCAAGCTCCTTGCCCTGTCCCAATAGCACCGTGGGGAAGTCCTACCTTATTTGAACGTAATTGGCTTCCTGCCCCCTCCCCATCATGAGAGCCTTCCAATATTTAAACTCACGTGTCCATATCCCCTTTAAGAATTCTCTAGGCTAAGGGTGGCCAAGACCTTCAAACACTCCTTATATGATGTGGTTTTCAGACCCCTCACCATCCTGGCCGTCCTCCTTTGGACACACTCGTTTGTCAATGTTCCTCTGAAAATGTGACTCTCAGCTCTAGACATAGTGCTCCCCGATATTGTCTGACCAACTCAGAGTTCAGAGGGACTGTTACCTTCCTTGATATGGGCAGTGTTCTTCTATTTGTACCAATTAAGACTGCATTGCTCTTTTGTTTTGTCTTTTTAACCACCATATCATTCTGTTGTCATATGTTAAACTTGTGGTCTATTGAACCCCCTAGTTCCATTTCCCCTAAACCTGTGGACTCTATCCTGTTCTTGGAGAGCTTAATTTTTTTTTTTTAACCAGCGTGCAGGAATTTATATTCATCCTTGTTAAAAGCCACCTTGTTGGTTTCAGCCCCTCACCCGAGCCAACTGAAATTGTTTTGAATCCTAATTCTGTATTCACAGTCCTCCCAGCATGTTTCCTGCACATCAGTGAGTGTTTTCTGTTGTCCTCACCCATGTATTTGATAAACATGTGACTCTTATCACTCCTCACCGCTGGCGCCCCAATTCCAGCACTCCGCAGCCCTCCTCCCTTCCTTCCCCTCAAACCACAATCAGCCTGCAGGAATCAGCTCTTCCTAATGGTCTCCATCATCCTCTGGTTGCTCCTTTAGTTCCTACTCATCTGTTTTGTATTTAACTTGCTATATTGATTTGCACTTCCTTGAATGTTGTTTATTTTCATACATTTTAAAATCTTTATGCGTATGAGTACCTTTAAGGAGTCTGTAAGCCCCTGAAGCACAGGGACTGTGTCTTCTACTTTTTTTGCATTTCCTTTTCTACCCTGAGTCCTAAACAGAGAGGGCCTCTTCATGCTTCAGACTAAGAACTCAATAGATGTTGACTGATTAGCTTCAGGGCTGACTGGCTGATTGACCCTGGCTGGCTGTCTCTAACTGGCCAGCCTTCTGGTTGACCAGTTAACTAGCTACCTAGTTGATTCTGACTGGCCGGCCAACTGGATGGATGACTGACCAACTAACTAGCTAGTCACTGCCTAACTAGCTAGTTGATTGATGAAGCTGATTGGCTAGCTGGCTGCTTGCCTAAACTGCTGATTGGCAGGCTGGCTGACTATCTGGAGAACCCATTCATGTTTCTAGTCACACCCATGCCAAATGCAAGCCAGCACTTCAGGGCCTTCTCGTGTGTAGAATGACAGGTCTGGGCCACTCCTAGAGAGATAGGGTATCTGCCAAATGCTCAAAACCAGGGGAGCCTATTTAGAGAACAGTAGCAGACAGTAAAAGCGTCTGCCTACAATATGGGAGACCCGGGTTCGATCCCTGGGTCAGGAAGATCCCCTGGAGAAGGAAATGGCACCCCACTCCAGTACTCTTGCCTGGAAAATCCCATGGCCGGAGGAGCCTGGTAGGCTACAATCCATGGGGTAGCAAAGAGTGGGACATGACTAAGCGACTTCACTTTCTTTCTTTCTTTCTTTCTTTCTTTCTTTAAGATAAAACACATGTGGAACACATGTGAAAGAGATAACACTTCCCGGGGTCCACCTCGTAGGTAAGGTGGACTCAAATGGGTCAGATGGGACACTGGCAGGGCTGTAAGAATGAGGCAGACCCCTCAGAACTGGCAAGCAGAGGATGGAACAAGGTCCCTGGGGACTTCACGGCTCAATGCTGTACCACCCTCTGACTGGTCGCCCACCTCCCTCCTTGGCCTTGGCCTTCTGCCTGCCTAATCTCAGGCGCCCCCAAGCTTTCTTCTTCCTCCCCTGAAGATTTCACTTAGAGAGTGATCCAGGGCCAGGGCCACATACAGACCCCTGCTTGGATCCTGCCCTAAAGTGGTCTCCAGGCCAGGCAGCAGGAGCCTTAGGGCCAACTGAAGACTGCTGCCCTAATGAGAGGGGGAAACACAGAGGCAGAGGTATAAGAGAGGGATCCTCAGAAAGGAAATGTGGACCCTGACCCCTCCACTCCAAGGAACCAAGAAAGAGGGGCAGTGGGCTGGAGCCTGCCCACTTGGTTATTCTTCCCTTCTGGCCCCAGCAGGGCCTGTGGCCCAGCCATACCGAGCATGGCTCATGTCCAGTTTATGGTCTTCCCCGCCTGCCTTCCAGAGCATGGGAATGGGCTGGGAGCCAGAAGCTATGGTCCCATCTTTCCTCCTTATCCATCACGAGTTTTGCTGGTAGGGCCCAGGGATAGTCAGGGAGGGAAGCTCCGCACAGGGTCCAAAGTCAAACTGTTGGATGGAGGCCAGGGGATTTCTGCTCTGGGAACAAAGCGTTCTGAAGACAAGGATGGGGGAAGGCTGGGAGATAGCAGGGCCCTGACTCTTATGCATGATGCAGGGAGGCAAGTCCCTTGGCCCATCCGGAAGGAGGCTGGCTTGCTTAGGGCTTAGCAGGCCAAATGGCAGGGTGGGAGTTTCCTTGTCTGGAACTGCCCCCAGTTCTTTCCCTTCAGATACCTCTGCCCTGCTGCCCTGAGTATTGTGTGTGATGACCTCTGTGATGAATGGTGTGGAGTGGGAATGAGAAAATCCTCTTCTTGGCTAGAGTTAGCAGGATTCACTCTTGATTTTTTAGACCAAAGATAGTGAGATGGTATTGCCTGGGGCGGGGGGGGGGGTTTATCTAAGGACACTCAAGTGCCCCCTTCCCTCCTTAGTAGACCCCTCCACTTGAGTAATGCCCATCCCAACTCCACTTAGACCTCTGCCAGGCCGTTACCTCCCCCGTGGTCCCTGGTTCCCCAGGAGGAGGTAGGAGGTGAGGCCAGTCTGTCCAGCGGCTTGGATTGCCGCCAGAGAAAGCTGCCCAGGGCCCTTGCGGTGTCTGGGGTGGCGGGGAAGGCTAAGGAAAGGATGGGAGGAAGTCCTGTCTGCAGCAGCCCACAGGAACGCTCTAGCTCGCCCACCCATGTCCTCAGCGACCCCTCCCTTGACTCCCACTCAGCTGACAGCCTTTCTTTCTCTTCCCTACAGCTGGGCACACAGGACAGTCTCTCCATGGGAGGAGATACTGTGGGGACGGCCACCACCACCCCTCCCCAACCATTCTCCCGGGAATGTGGCCTGCCCACCATGAGAGCTCCTGGGCTCGGGAGAGCAGGGCTAGGCCAGAGCAGCCAGGCTGGGGCTCCTCTGCCCTTGACCCTCAGACTCTGGACTGACTAAGAGAGGGCTGGAGGATGCCCCCAACGCTGCTGATATTTATCAGGGGCCCTGGAGGCTCCCATCCGCTTAAGGAAGGCTGCCGAGCCCGGCTGGGGACCCTCTGCCCCTCAGGGGTTATATCCTCTGCCCATTCCCCTCTAGGGCCCCGGAGGCCCACGGGACATGGGGGAGCAGGGTGGGCACTGAGGAATGGGAGAGCCCTCGTGTCAGAGGACCTGCCTGCCGCCGAGGGATCCCAGCACCGACAAGCAGGGACTTGTCTCCAGAGAGAGAAGCATGAGATTCACAGGGCGGGACAGCGTTGTTGGATTTCCCGTAAAGGCGTGTAGCCCAGAAGACGGGAAGAGAAGGCCTCTGGGCCTGCTGGTCTGCACTGATCGCCCGGAGCGGGTCTGTACCCTCCACTTGCCGCCGTGCCCTCTGTCGGCAGCCAGGCAGAGAGGGGATGCCAACCCGGCCCTCAGGACCTGCCTGGCCTGGCTCGCGATGCCCACGGCAAGACCAGGCGCTGGCCTCTGCCCCGCCGTCCCCCAGGGCCTGCCAGAGCTCCTCCAGGAGGCCGTGCAGAGCCTCTCCTCTGAAGGAAACCATCGCACTGTGAATACTGAACCTGCCTGCTGAACAGCCTGCCCCATCCATCCCGGAGAGCAAACACCTGTCCGTCCTCCCCCTCCTCCAGCCTCTCCCCAGCTTCCTGCACTGAGCGCCCAAGCCGGCCTCGCCTGTCGACTGAGGGAGCCCCTGAGCCCTGACCTTCTGCTGACCCGGCTCTGACTGCCTGGGATGGATCAGGGTGGGAGAGTTTCCCGGGGCCAGCAGCCAGAGCTGGTCTTTAGGCTGCGTTGTTCACCCAGGTTTCTGCATCTTGCACTTTGACATTCCCAAGAGGGACATGACTAAAGGGAGGGTGAAAAGGAGGGGAGGGACTGACACAGAAAGAGACTGCAGGGTGAGCTCTGATGGCAAATAGGTCTTTGAAA